GATGCACATGATGATTTCCACAGGATTCCATAGTGACAACACTGTGTGTATTCGTAGACTGTCTTCAGATTCCATTTTGGTGGCTTCTAGAAAAATCTGTCTCTAACTATGCATGAATCTGCCACTTCCTCACAATAGCACTGACAGTCCACAGGCAGTCTAGTGAGCTGAATTAATTAGGAAATCTTTTGGGGTTTTTTTTAATTCTTCATTTGGATACAAAGTCATTTTGGACACCTGATTGCTCTTAGGCATGCCACAATATTCTCAGACAAAACAGACAAGGCTTTCAGCACCATAAGATGAAATCTGACCACATATTTATCAGTCAGTTAAAACATCTATGTGATTATGTTCTTCACCCAATACATTTTTATAAGTTAATTGTGTTAGTGACTTTACTACATCCACTTTCCATTTTGACAATGCCCAAGAGCTACATGAAATGGTTTCAAATTAATATTAGACTCAGTGTGTCAAACTGGTTAGTAGTTGTTACTATTTTATATTCCATCATTGTGAGCTCAATTGTTTTCCAGTACATTGCATGTATTATTTTACAGAAAAGCTTCAGACACTTTTTTGCTGCTGAAAGCCTCTTGCAAATTAATTGTTTGACTGGATGACAGGATATCAGCAGGGGATGATTAAAAACCAGCAATAAGAAAAAAAACTATTCCCTCTCTAAGACTCAGACTCAGTTGGAATGCAGACTTCCCTTTGGATGGGAAAGAATTTTTAATTATATAGAAAGAATAACTGGATAAAGAAGAAAATGTAAATAATTAATGACTGGCTTCACCCAACAACARCAAGAATTCATCTTGATTATTTTCAAACAGAAAGTAATTACTAAATTACTAAAATACTCAGAGTATGAGCAATAACTGCTTCTTCAGGTACTCTTTTCTGTTTCCTCGAATAAAACATCCCAACATGACTGCATCACTTGATCTTTTTTGTAAAGAGAAGAAAATCCTCTGAGTCTTCTTATGCATATTCTGATCAGCTCATGGAAATGACAGAGTCTTCACACAAGTAACTGGTGTGTGAAAGCCTTCAGAATTCAAAGGAAAAGGGGAGAAAAAAAAGCCTGACTACTCTGCCTTCAACATAATCACCCAGGTTTGCAATCAAATGGTACTATCCTGATTTAAAGAAGTTCAAGAGCAAGTCCAGAACACAAGTTAATCAAAGAAATGGGACAGGAGCTGTTAGAACTGGCCTGTTTGACACAGGGGTGTACTGTTGGCTTTTGGTCATCTTTTCCTCTAAAGCCACCACGTCCCTCTCTGGAAAGCTGTTTTTCAGCTGTTGGTCCCCAGCCTATGTTGGTGCCTGGAGTTTTCCTTTTCCAGACATTCAAGATTGATTTTTTTTTCTACTTTTGGAGGTTTCTGAGGTTCTTATCATTCCATAATCCAGATTATATTCAACCCTAAATTTTATAGATTAAAAAAAAATAAGTTAAAAACAAAAGCAATTAAAATACATTTTCCTTCAGATGGAAAAATTTCTTCACTGAAAGGCTTCTTAAGAAATGCAACAGGCTGCCAACAGAAATGGTTTTGAGCCACCATCCCTGGAGGTATTTAAAAGACATGTAGATGTGGCACCAAGGGACATGGTTTAGTGGCGAGCTTGGTAGTGCTCCGTTAGCAATGACCTTATCCAACTTTAGAAGTAGCATCATTCTATGATTCTGCAGATCTTGGAAGTATTGCAAACCTGCAAGGCTGCATTCTGTCAACCACTGAGCAACTGGTGACTAACAAATAACCTGTGGTGCTCTACATGACAGAAATATTTTCAACAAATAGAAGGTCAGTAACTCAGCCACAATTCTTTAGTTTATCTTCAGACCCACCATTTTGCTTTGACAGAGCAGCTGTGTAAAGATTTCATTTTAGGAGGAAATAACTTCTCAGTTATTTTTTCAATCTTCAAGCTTCTTAGACATTTTCACACTGAAAGCAGACATTCTTACTTATGAGCCAGCCATGAGTAATATCCTTTGTGATATTACTTMGCTTTATTTACAGCATGTGGGTATGAGCAGCTACAGCCATTTCAGGAAAACAAGTTACTGGTATCTTTATCACTATTATGCAGGTATTACTGGTAAAACATTTTGGTTTCACGTTCTCCATGGACCACAAATGATGGTAGTCTGAACAAACTTTAATCTTCTTATTGGCAAGAATTATACTTCTCTGCAAACTGACAGTGTTCTGCCTGGAATAAAAAAAAAAAAAAAAAAAAAAAAAAGGAAATTATCTAATTATTGCTATTATTAGTTGCAGCACAGTTTCTCCTGCTGATGGCAAGGGTAATCAAGGTGATGGAAACCCACACACTGTATTCTCACTCAGTATATTAAAAAATGTCAAGAGGCGAGTTCTGGGTGCCTTAAATTAGATAAACTTCAACTGAAGAAAAAGGTACCTGAATAGTAATTTACACTTAATCTTAATTTAGGCACATAGTAGCCATTGCTTTAATAAAAATTCAATAAATTTTTTTAATCTGGCTCTTAGCTTATATTTATGTTGGTACTGCCATAAACAAACTGAGTTAAAAAAAAAAATCATGCCTTACCCTGCCCAGATAACCAGACATTTGACTTTATACATTTATATGGTGTTAAGAATTTAATGTCACAAATTGCAAAATTCGCTTTACCCTAATAAACTCTATATATAGGTGCCTATTTCAAGCTATTCTGCAGTGTTTCCAAACATTAACTAGGAAAGATATAAGACTCTTTAAAGGTTAGTGAGAGATGAATTTTCTCAGGAGAACAAAGGGATGATGAAGGCCCTTGAGAGACACTGCTGAGGTTTTTTCAAATGACAGGAACTGTTGGCAGCACCAGAAGAAGCAGAATTAAGTGATCTTGTAACCTTTTACTAATGYTTACATTTTTGTGCCTAGATCAGGCCTCAGGACAGAGACTGCATGCTTTTGTTAGGTTTTGCTTGTTATTTCAATTTTGCTGATCTCCTGTTGTTGAATAATCCTGAGCAAACTATACACACTTACAGCGCTAGAAATTATGGCTGCAGTTCATTCTGTGCACATCACAGCAAGGAATGAACTCAGGTGGAGAAGGTCTAACCTACACAGAACATCATCCCACCTTCCCTTAAGAACGCTTGAGTGGTATGAGTCCATTCCTGTGGCTGTCCTGCCTGTAGACAGCTGAGCTGTCACTGCTAGATGGAAGCAGAATCTCATGGATAATTGCCCTTCCATCCCAGTTAGTTATATGGTCTTTACTTTTCCTGTGTCATTTACCTTCCATATAATTTTTCATTCCACGCATCCTTCCACACATTCATGACTGTTCATTTTAGGCACCCAACTGAGTTTTCTCAAAGGTGAGAGGGAGTTGTCAGTGAAAATGTGCTTGCCACAAAAATGGAATAATTTTCTAGGAGCAAATCTCTTGCTTTCTTGATCTTGAAATGGGATCTTACAACTTACGTTGTTTACCCAACTTAATGAGGGATCATGTCTCATAGGCTGATAATTGGATAATTTCCTGAAAATGAGGGGAAGAAAAAAAAAAACACAAAAATCCCCTCAACAGATTGTTTAAGTCTCTTTAAGATTCTGGAGTTCATTGAAATAATACATGAAACATGATTTCATGTAACAGTATTAAAAAAAAAAAAAAAAAAAGGGTCCTGACCAATCAGATTTTGTCATATCCCTGACAGCTGTATCCTACTGAATGCATGAAGAGCTGTCTTACCAAAGCTCAACTTGCACGCGTGGAGAAATGAGAAAGTTCTGCTCGGTACTTCTGCACACTTTAAAAACTGCCTGAAAGGCAGGGGTGAGGGCTTAAGTTAAGACAGTCATGACRGAAGATGGGATTCTGGCATGAAAAACTGGTTTAGTGCAACCTGCACTCACCCAGAATCAGAGAAAGAAGTCTCTTAAGGCCTTTTTAACTGCAGTTGATTTACTCCTCTTTCTGTATTTCCACAGAACTCAGTTGCAGAATGGCTGGCTGACCTGATGGGAAAGGGAAGATGGGCACCTATGTAAGAAAACAGAATTACAGTCACACTCGGCCTGTAAACCCACCCAAGGTGTTGAGCAAGATCCTCAGGACAACTGAAAGCCAGACCATGCTCAAATGTCGGAGCSGTCATTTGCTGAGAGACGGGAGAGACACAGAAACTACCTTGTAGACGTGGTTGAATGTGCAATCTCTTCAACTTTATTGTGCGGTACAGGGGTTTTTATACCCCTGGTTCCTAACGGTGASGGCRGTTAAACATAACGSTTTTTGTAACAGAGATAACGGTAACTTAACGTTCACAAACCCCTACTAAYGACATAAAATCCCTTATATGGCAGTTCTGCTGTTGCAGGAGGCRCGTGCTGACTCTCCTTGCCATACAGTTACATTGGTGTTTCTCACGGCCACGAGACAGACCCTACTGGAACAGTTACAGCACCTGCCGGCTGCTGGCCAACGGTGGCCAACGGTGCAGATTGTTCCAGARCCTTCACGGGTCTTCTCTGCCCTTACCAGGCCTAGGCCTCATAGTGGCTTACCACATTCAAAGCATCTTTAAATTTGATTATTCCTTTTCATTTGTGAATGGAAACATACAGGTGTGGAAGGCTGGCTAAGCTGAGAAGGGTCACATAGACATTTTACAGCTTGGTGAGAGGAAGGAATGTAGGTGTCATGCTCAGATAGAATAATTGCTGAAATTGTGTGAACCATCTTTCTGAGGTGATGGGAAAGCTATGCAAGGACATCATGTTTTTAAGCTGCTGGAAACTGCCTACGAGGTATTTGTGCTAGTTAGCCTTGGGAACAAGTAGAAGTAGATAAGGGAAATTTGGCAAATGAATCATTAAAGGTGGAGTTGACGTGTAAGACGTGGACCTATGAAATATATGTATTACAAAATATGTATGAGCTAATTATGTATGTTATAAAACTTAGACATTGTTTACAATAAATCGAAGTTTGCTTATAACGCATATTGAGTGGTCCGAGTCTTCCCTTCGCCGACATAAAGGTCRTCTAAGTCAAATCTGGTTTGAGACTCGTGAAGTAGCAGTGCAAACTCTCCAAATTTCTTTGACAAGGTTATTGCTAGCGGCTGCAGTGTCACACTGCCTCTCTTGTTGGCATACAGCTCCTCTGGCAGCTGTGAGGAGTGAAAATTCTCCCTCAGTGGCTGTTTTATGGTCATTCTACTAAGTTTCCGAGTGCCATATTCTGGTGTGTTTTCCAGCTCATTAGACATGGTGATACACAATTCTGAGACAGGAGTCTGGCCCAGGTTTCTGGAGACCAAAGCACTACACAGCATACATATAAAACTGTCASAGCTGCTTGTGGGAAGACTTCCAGGTAAGTTACAGCAGGGAGACAAGGCACTTGGTCTCAGGCAGCCTTTGTGACAGGTCTACAGATACTTGGTGYCATTGTAATGACACGCACAGCCACACAAACAGCACTCAGAAGACCAAYAGCCTAGGAAGGCTTTTATAAGAGTAAAAACAACTACTCCTGATGAGAGACAGGCTATATACTTGCCAAGATCACAGAATCATAGAATCCTAGAATGGCTTGGTTTGGAATGGACCTCAAAGACCAGCTCATTCCAATGCCCCTGCCATGGGCAAGGACAGCTTCTCGAGACCAGGTTGACCTCTAGGGCTGGSACATCCACAGCTTCTCTGTGCAACCTGTGCCAGTGCCTCACCACCCTTACAGTAAAAAAATTCTTCCCAATATCTAATGTAAATCTACTCTCTGTCAGTTTAAAAACATTACTCTTCTATCACTACATCCCCTTGTGAAAAATCTCACTCCTGCTCTCTTGCAGGTCCCCTTTAGGTTCTGGAAGGTCTGGTATTAGGTCTGCCCAGAGCTTTCTCTTGTCTAGACTGAACAGCCCCGACTCGCAGCCTGTCTTCTTCTGCATGATGAATAGACCTGGTGTATTGACTTCACTCAGTACTGGGGAAGAACAATTGAGATACAGACCCTGAAAGACCCATACCTGTCAGGAATACCTCTGTGACATGACACAGGCTGGTGGTGATGGAAGTCCAGGCATCAGATGCCTCTTATGAGTCCTTTCATTGCTTTGAAATGTTTTTGCAGTGTAAAGATAGGGGAAAAATCAGTTAAATGCAGGGAAATATTTTTAGACAAGATGTACAATACTGTAAAATATCTAGCAAGAGTTCTAAGTGCCTGAAAAATGCTGTTTTGGATATATCAGATAGTACCTGAAGAATTACTAAAACATGATTTTCCTCCCTTTATTTACTGCAGAAGATCAAAGTAAAAACTTCATAGTATTACCTTCAAATTGATCATGGTTGGAATAGCAATAACTTCATTTATTTTCTAGTTAGGATAATCAGAAAAGTTTATATTCTCTTTGAAAGCCAGCTGTGTTGTAGTAGTTRCTTAATGAATTAACAACACTCACCSTCTTGGCTGCTTCTGGTAGAGGTAAAGTAGCTCAAACTCTTCCCAAGGAAAATAATCCTTGGGATAATTTCACTTCATGTGCCCTCGTTTTGTCCCTCAGTWGAGAAGCTCAGAGGCAAAACTGTTGCATTCCTTGAAAATTCATGTTCATAGAAGTAGTATATTACAACATCTGAGCATGATCCAGTTAAATTTTTCCAGTTAAGTCAACTTAAAGGTATTGCTTAGTCTTCTATGTCTTTTACAGACACTCATAGGTAGTATTTGCTCTTTACTCTTCTGATAATTAAACTAGAAGACTGTAAACCCAGCATTTAGAAACTTGGTAAAAAGAACAGCCAAATCAATTATGAAATTGAAAATACTTCAACTTTCATTTTATGTGCTACATATTACACTGACAAATCAGGAAATGTGGGAGATCTTTCACTGTGTTGGGCTTTTTTTTCTAGAAATCTTACATATTGGAAATGATTCAAGTGCGTTACCTCTTTTCCCTGCCRACACATGGGAGTTTCAGACCAGCCAGGCTGATGTGCATGGCAGYTCTGCAGGGAACTCTGCAGTGTCAATCATGGTGCTTTGTTTCTGACAATAAATTCCTGCTAACTCATTACTGGAAGTTTGAAAATGCCTTGAAAGGAGACAGGCTTGTACTTTTGTCCTTCCAAAAGTTGGGGGAGAAAGAGTGTGTGCTATCATTACAGTCATGGAGGTTTTATTTCCCCTCTAGTTAAATGTCACTCTTCTAAAAATCTGGCTTTAAAACTCATTTAAACAGCACACATCAAATGTAGATTCTCGGGTGAGTTAGATGGTGTGGAAAAGTGGACAACAAATAGTGACTTACAGACATGGAGAGTGCCCAGCTGCAAAACCGCATTTCTGTGTTAATCTTGAAGAATTCAAGGAAAGTGGAATCTGCTCTTTAATCTGCTCTTTGTGCTTCTAGTCTATTTTTGGTATGGAACGAAGGAAAATTTGGTTTCAATTTTCAGTTCTTATGTAACAAATTTATAAAAATGTTTACATTTTTTCCTGAAGGTTTTTGCTCTGACTATGTTTATTATAAAGATGTTGTAACAACAAGAACTTTAAAAAATGCTTCTTGCCCTTAGGCTGTGCAAATGACAGCACTGTGTGCCCTCTGCCAGCACAACTCAGTAACTTCTAAGGTGAGTAAGAGGCCCTTTACAATTCAGTTAGGTCTCCTTCCCTAATAACTACATTTTCCTAAACCTACCATTTTTTGTCTGATGAAAAGAAATCTAAAAGAAAAAAAGAAAAAGAATAGCAAAGAAATGGAAGAAAGCATGGACCACAGGCAAGGCTAGTTCAGTTGCCAGCTCTTTGAAGGAGGAAGCAGAAGTCAGAAAGCAGAGCTTTGTCATGTAATTTTTTGTTGTTTCCCCTGCTTTTCAAAGCACCATGGCTATTTGATCTCAAGTAGAGAGGCACTGTAGCCATTTTTGTGCCAGAGGCTTATCTTTATATACCCATTTTAGAACTATATTTCACAGTGAATGCCAAGAAAAACTACCTACTGATCTTCAAAACAACATGCAAGCAAAACGGCAAGCTATGACAACATTGTTCCCTTAATTTTTCTTTCTGAGGCTCACTTTCACTTTTTTTTTTAAATTATCCTCTCCCGATGACTGYGGTGTTACTTGAACTTTAAATGTCAAAATCCCTTTGAATGGCATTACTGTGAACTCTGGAGCCATCCACCACATATGAATGGCTAATACACATAAGAGAATCAATAGATATATTTCATGATGCACAGCCAGGGTTATGAATTCTTTTTATTATTCCTATCACTTCCCCAGCCCCATGAAAACAAAATTCCAACTAGCTACTGCTATTTTAAGAAGAGAGCAGGGAGAGTATATACTGGCAGGTTGATTGACATAAGTCAGCCAACTCTTCCAGCTAAAGGTCTGAGTCTGCAAGCTGTTTCTTGTGGGTGGATCTCTGTGCTTAGATGGAGAAGCCTGCAGAATTTAAACTGAAATCAGCTACATCTAAGCTACAAGAGAGAAACTCATACTTTAAATGTTATTCAAGTGAAGAAATACTTACAGAGTGAAGTCACTTTACATATTATTATTATTATTATTATTATTATTATTATTATTATTATTACCATTTTCCATTTGCTCCCAATCAGTTTTAACATAAAAATGTTCTCTGGGGTTTTTTTGTATGTTTCTCTCACTTTTGGGCAGTAAGAAGAAGTTTCCATTGCTACATCTACCTGGATAACATCCAAGATCTGAGCCAAATGTCCTATTTATTTCCTTGAAAAATTATGGAGAAAGGCAGAGCAGGGGAGCTACACTTGAGGAGGGAACTGAAAATATTCCCAGTACAGTTCACAGTTTCATTCAGTCTCATCCCTCTATCCCAAGAGTGTTTGGCAATGTTCAGTCATAAGGGATGTTCTGTCCAGTTCTCATGCCAGTAAAGAAAGAAAGATTAAAGGGCCCTTTCCTCCATCAATTTCTGAGGGAGAATGTGACAGATTTTGAAACCATTAATTCAAAGTAATGCCCATGGCATGCTGCAGACGGGAGTATGGATTTCTAATTGTGGCTGTCCTTCTGCCTGCAAATGTGGACTGCTCTGTTTTACCCTTTGGAGGATCCTTGTCCCTACAGAGAAGACATTTAGCCTTCAGGAGGGGAGGATGAAAAACATGATTAACTTGCCATGATTTCTCACACTCACTTGGTCTAGACTGGTGGAAGTGGCTGTCACAAAGAATCAGGATCAGGGCTCTGCTGTGCTGCAGAAGCAGTCCATGGCCTGAGCAGCCTGCAGGAAACCAGTCACTGCCAAAATCTGGGTATGACATCTTTCTGAATGCCAGCCAATAAACCCAAATAATCACATTTTTTGGTGTACAAAAAATATAAGCAGGCACAGTTTCCACAATTCATTCAATTTTCTTGTTTCATTTTTCTGAGTTAGAGGACTCTTGCAGGGTTTAACCAGTAATGCCTGTCATGTTGAGCTGGAAACACCTCTAGAACATGACAGAATTATAGTGCTTATAACGCCCACAGGAAACAGTTGTTATCCCCAGACAAGTGAGAAATTGAGTCACCGTATYATCATCATCTCCCACAGCCCAGCTGAGCGTCCTAATTATAACATCTTTCCATATTCAGAACCATCTAAATGGAATGAATGTCATATCCTGCATTGTCTTGCTGGCACAATACGCTCTCTTATTTGAATTACAGACACCCAGGCAGGGTCACGACCTAAAGGGTGACCTTGGGAGTTTTCAGACCACAGACTGTTCAATATTCCCCTGATGAAATGCTTTATCCTGAAGAGAACAGGTCATGGCCATCACTGGGAACTTTCTACCCAGCCATGCAAAGCTCCCTTCTCTGTGTGCTCACTAGTACATACACTGACCCAGCACTATGCTGGTTTACTGAGCTTTCCTCCCAATCAAAGGATGTCATTTGATTACTTAGTGGCCCTTAGAAAGCAAATTTAGAAGTAATCATCTATTCTCAGCTCAGACACTTCTCCTTTTAAAAATACTTTCCCAAGAGCCCAGCCCAAATGAATGGGATGTCATCCACAGAGCTATAGGGCTTGCCTGCAACTTCCACCTGCCAACCTGACAAAGGTACCCAATACCTAAAGGTACAATACAGCAACAAAATGAAATTCCTCCTACTATGAACCCAAGAAAATCTCCTTCAGTTAGGTAACTGTCATCTGCGAACAAATKACAGGTATTGCAGATTTTTGTCATACACTAGGTTCAAGTTTTCTCATGGAATTCACATCTCCTCCAAGTGGGGAGACAGGC